GCCTCTTTCATTGTCATCCTTTTCACATGTCTTCGAGTCTTCAAACCCACAACTCTGACACACTTTTCGCAAAGGAGCAGTTTAGTGTATCCGGTCTCAGTTTAAAGGCATCTCAGTCAAGATATTAATTGTGTGAATTTCGGGCAGCAAACTATGACGATTATGGAGGGGTTTCCAAATAAATGTGGAAGTGGAGGTGAAACATGAAACGTTTCATCTCGTTTATTATGAAGAAAAACTGGGTTTCGAATAATTCCTTAATGATATATTGTAACATAACTTTCTATTTCGGAGGAATTCGTAATTTGGTCTCATCAAAAACCGAAGGAGGACTACCGCGATTGGCTTTACTGGAAGAATCATGCTGACGCTGTTTCCGAGGCAATCTCCCTCGATTCCGGTGAAAGGGTGCTACGCTTTCGTACGCCATGTGACGAACATCATCAGAGCAAGGTAGCATCGTCACAAACAAATTCAAGCTAACGAGTTTTCTTGACTCGTCGTCTCCCGGTGGAATGGACACTCGAATCTCTTCAATAAACACTTTCACTCAAAAGGTAAGTAACTTAAACAATTATGAAAGCAGAGATTCCTCGAAACCCACCTTTTCTTCGCATAAAGACAGTAACCCAGGCCATTCTATATCTATGTTAATATGAATGTACACTTCGAAACATAGCTTAGTCCGAAAGAATTCGTGATTTTGTATCATCAAAAATTGAGGGAAGAGATTCGCATGTTGATCTCATCAGAAGAAGACTGCTGATGACAGCTGTTCTGCAACCGTTTGGCTGTAATACCACCTTCCGGTTGACAATTCACGAGCCATTTTCTTTCGTTTCGGGTGAAAACGTGTCGAGCTCTTGACTATCATATGCCGGATATAATCAGAGATGGAACAAATTCTTGAAAAGGTCTCAAGTAAGTTAAGTAATTTCATGCCTTATAATAAATAAATAGATATAGAAGGATTTTATTATTTCTCTTTCATATTCACGACAATTTTACTTGACTGTGCCTGCATATGCGCTTGCAGCGGGAGACTACTTAGTAGTCCGTATTCAGTAGTCTCTGATCAGTAGTCAGTAAGGCCAATAATACGAGCGGACGTGTGCACATGAAGACAGGCATATTCAAGTAAGAATATTGTGAATAATAGAAGAGTGGATAAGCCAAATGCTCCTATATTTATTTTTTATCGTATTTATTTTCTTTTTTACTTATGAATATATCTAGCGTATAGGATAGGTCTACTGATATATGAAGAAAAACTGGGTTTCGAAAAATTCCTTAATGATAGATCTATTGTGGCATGAATCTCCATGTTGAAGGAAAAGTTGTTTGTAAATAATTCAGGATTTTGTCTCATCGAAAACCGAAGGAGGATCACCGCTTCGGGAAGATTGTTGAATTGTACGAAGAAGTCTTCGGCTCACCGTCCTGCGACCCCGATGAAAGTGTGCTAAGCTTCCGTCTGTACTGTGACAGTCATCATAAGAGCAGGTATGCATACTTCACGAAATAGAGCAACAATATACCAAACCAAGAGAAAAGATGGCCTTCCCTTGACATCTTAACGCAACCTTTCATAACTTGGTTGGCTAACCCAAACTCATTCTACATGCTTGCAGAGGAGAGAAGTCATTTCACGAACCGGAAGTGCGTTTGGTGGCAGTGGCTTACTGATGCAAACAAATAAACTGGCTCCTGTTTGGGCTTGTGTTTTCGTTTATTGTGTCAATATAATCTCCATTCTATGAGAATTGTGATCAGTAATCCTAGCCACACTCGAGCATGATCCAGCCACCTTCCCTTGTCAAGTGGCTCTTCTTGTTCTCCCTATCCCTCCCTTTCCCTAAGCTTATCCCAAAGCGACAAATAATTCTTACTACATTTTCTTCTTTATTCATAATCTTAAGCTTTTATGTAAAGTCCCCGTAACCTGCAAAAGAGTGTGTTTTGGACCAGTCTATTAAATGTCCTGTATTGGCAAAATGTAATCAGCTGGCTCAGAGATTTGGAGCGGTTTTGTGTTGGCATTATCTCTTGGGAACGGGTCGGCAGGTCTCCCCCACACATACCTTACCACATGAGCACCAAACCTTGCAGCAGCCTCATCTAGAGGAAGGGTTTTGAAATCCTCTAAACGAAGGAACGACTGAAGAAAGCGTTAATTTCTCCTTCAACGTTGTTTTGCTG